TGCCACGGTAAAATGATGCCACCGATGCCCAGAGACATGGTAAGCAGAATGTATGTCCACCGGGACAAGGGCTCGCAATAGAAAGCAGTGTATTCGGTGGTCACAATCGAGGCAGCGACCAGCATAGAGATTCCAGTGTAGTCCACACAAGCGAATCGTTCCATCAATGACTGCGAAGCGATGCTGTTCATAGTATGCCAAATAGTGCTGCAGACCAGACATTTACAGGCAGCAAAGAAGAAAACGGCAGCGATTGTGACGTCGGATTTGGTGCTCAGGGGGAAATTCGTGTGAAGCGGGTAGAAGTAAAAGGCGATAGATAGGACGATGACGAGGCCAATCACATGGGACCATATGTTGAACATTTCGTTCGAATAAGCGAAGACCGAGGAGACACATTCCACCTTGGAAGTGGTGAATCGGTAGCCATTGATGATGTGCGGGTTGACGCGCCATGGATGAGGCAGTTCATCGTAGTTAATCAATCGCTTTTCCTGGGCTAGTTTGATAGCCTCCTCGACAGCATCCCGGAGAGTATCACGAGTCCGGCGGGCACGCTCCATGCCCTCGTCGACGATTTCCCGGGCATGAACCAAGCCCGAATCCATCGCTTTCAATCCATCATCTATAGTGCCATAGATGCCGCGATCGCGTACTGCATGCACTTTGTTCTCAAGTTCGACCAAGAATGACTCCATTAACCGCACACCAGCTTGCGCTTTTTGCTCCAGAGTCTCCTTGGTCACTAAGGCTTCATTGTATCCATCCTCGAGGGTTTCGACCAGAATCTTGGCCCGCTTTTTGCCACTTCCCATCAACTCCCCGGAGGCGAGAGAGCATTGATCTCTCACGGCTTCCAAAGTAGCATAGCCTCGTTTCAGACTGGCATCGACCTGCACCATGTGGGATTTTCGGTATTGCTCGATCCATTGCATTCGACGTTCCAGTTCGGACAAGAAGAGTTCGACCTAGAGCTTGATTAGACACACTGTTCCCCGGGTATATTTTCCACCAATAGTGAGTTCACATACTCTGATGAAGACTGCATCTGCATCTTGGTAGTCGCACGAGAGTTTTCTAGAAGCGTGGAACGAATGTCGGCGCCGATCACGGAGCATACCAGTATTCTCGTCGGGGGTCGCAGTGGCAGAGGCAAAAGCCTCTGCTTTAGTAGAAGTCTCCACCGCCATTGAAGAAGCGCCGCAAGCCATGGGGTGTAGTTGAGAGATCACCCGTCCAGCTTCAATCGAATGCCATACAGAGTGAGAATGTTGGGCGATAAGCGTTGAGAGGCAAGGGTTTCGGAGAGATACCGGGAGGCGGAGAAGGCCTCAAGAGAAAGTCCTCGAGTTGAAACGGACTTTAAACGAAAAGGAATGAGGGGCACATAAGAGTAACTAGAAACCAAAAAAAAGGAGGGGAATGGGGGAATGTACAAAGTAAGACGGTAAAATGGGGTGGCGGCTGGGGGGAAAAAAGGGCCAAGTCCTACCCCCCAACCACACAAAATCCCCGAGGCACATTGCCGCCCCGAACGTCCTGATTGATCCATCCGGCCTCAACTTCTTTTCTTTTCCGCTTTACACTTCGCCACCGCATCCATCCCCATTAACAACATGGCTATCAGTGAAATTGTCGCCGATGAGTCACTCTTACCAGTGCTTCAGACTAGCGCCGAGACGCTGGTCCAGTGTCAGCACCTTCTCACCATTCTAAACCCCGATACTCTGCCCAACGATGGCGCCAAGCTCCGAGAATTATCTTTAGCCGCATCTAAGCAACAGAAGCTCCTATTCGCACTGTTGGCCCAACTCCGCGGGCAGAATCGGGATGCCATCTTCCGCGTGCGCGATACCAAGCACTCAACTGCAGAGGCCCGACAAGAAATCGACCGGCTGCATCTTCAACTCCAGAACCTGTACTATGAGCAGAAGCATCTGACAGGTGAAATTGCGGCTTGCGAGGCCTACGAGTACGTGGATCTGACTTCCTACTCATACCACTCTCATTTCCCCGTGGCAAAGAACTGACATATTTACTGTAGTCACAAATACCTATCCCTCCCTTTGATCTCGGTCGATGAATTCTTGGAGCTTCACCCCGAACATCGCGAGTCCAGCGAACATGACCTCATGATCGCCCGCATTGAGCATGAGCATGCTGAACGAGAGAAGCTGGAGCAAGCGCGACAAGAGCTTTTGAAGCGCAAGCAGGGCTTGATCGCAGAGAACAAGAAAAGGAAGAATGACCTTGCCAATCTCGACCAAGATCTCGAAAAGTTCATTGATGTATGTTCCTACGCTTGTAGTAGTCTGCTATTGATGAGTTTGCTAATAAGTTTCATCACATTTAGGCTGCCAAGCCCATTCAAAAGATCTTCGAGAAGGAATACTAGACATTGCATGTGGAGGTACAGCGGTGGAGCCCTGGCCTTTTGACTGCTACATTGGATCGGCGTTTCTGGTCAATATACCCTTGTTTTTTTGTGATTTCAAAGTACTTCGAGTCGATAATGACATCCTGGACCCCTTTGGGTCTCTGCTTCTGTGGTCCCTCTTTGCAAAAGCCTAGATTGGATGCGAATTCCGTATCTACGAGCCGTAAAGTGCAAAAGTAGCACCTTAAACTAATTAAATAAGAGATCATGAAACTGCAAATTCAGATCCAAAAATATTATCCATCCCAATGCTACCGCATATGGAGTATAGTCCGGTTGATAGTGTTGCTCCATGGGCCACTTAGGTGGTCCCTGGCTTCTCCGCCCGGCTATCAACTTCCCCAAATCAACAATCAACTGGATAAACACTTACTCCTTTGTTGCTCTGATTCAGAGCACAAAGCATGTCCCGACCATGACGACTAAAACAGGAGACCAGGAGTCTCCTCAGGATTCAGCCTCTCAAGTCGACCAACCTAGCGTCAACCGCGCTCCGCCCCCAGAAACCCCGGCCGCCCTCCAAACGCGATTTCGAGTGATAGCAGCATTTTGGGCCGTAATCATATTCTTTGGATTTCCGATATGGTGGAAGACAACATCGATCTACCGGGCATCTCTCCCCATCGCGGAGATGGTGGATTGGGCTGATGGCAAGGTACGGCTTGCGGAATCGCGGCTTTGGGGACTTGGTAGATGCTAATAATGTATTGCCAGGCGTGCCGACCAGTCTTCCCTTTGGAAATTCACCTTGCGACACCGTCAATGCAATATTTTGAGGCACAACATCTCCTCCGCACGACGCAGCATACTCTTGATGATCTCAACGAGTTCGCAGCTCATCACCTTCGGCTTAAGTTGACCAACGGTAGCACGACGGCAGTCCATAATGGCGAAGACAACCTCGAAAGTGTCAAATATCCTGCGGAAGAGACAGCGGATATTGCATTGACCGTCCGATTACTGCCCCAGGATGACCTAGCAGGTCCTCGGTCAGAGCTCCATGCAGCTACGACACAACTCGATATCTTCTACCCGCCGAGCCAGGTCCCTGTACCTTCCTCCTCCAACTCCCCCCTCTCGGCTTTCATTGCGGCAGAGCTTCAGCGATTGTATGGAGAGGAGAAGGCTACTATAGCGCACATCTTGTCTGGAAATACCGCGGGGCTTGACTCGACCTCACCACAACTCGCCGAAGATATCGACCGAAGACTGCGACGGTCGATGAAATACGCAGAAACCTACCACCTCTCATTTTCACTATTTACCCCCAGATCTGAACCTTCCTCGTGGGACATTGAGGCTGCGGTGAAAGAATATGTCTCCCCCCTCCTGCAGGCATTCTCTCCTATCAGTAATTTCACTGTCGACACGCAAGTACAGCTCTATGCAAACTTTGCACCCACTGCGCCGAAGCCTGAGTATGATGAATCCGAGGCGGCATGGACATTGAAGAAAGAAGGCCTAAGTGCCTTCGTCAATGCTGCCGAGTGGCCACTGAACCCGAGTATTGGCAACGGCCCGACGATCAATTTCATTCTCTATGTCCCAGACCCTTCGCAGTCTCCACTCATTGTCAAGGAGAACCGCGCCTCTAGCTGGATGGTCCCCCAATGGGGCGGAGTGTTCCTCCTTAACCCGCCGCTTTCCAATACCGAGCAGGGTGGCCCGTCCAATCCTGCTCATCTCTCCCAGGACTCTTTGGGTCCTGCATTCATGACATTCTCTCATCAACTCCTCACCCTCCTCGGTACTCCAAGCACCCCCGCCTCCCTTCCACTCCGTCTTCAGACGTCTATCCGCATTCGCGCGGCCAGCTTGTTGCTCTCCGCCTCATCAACAATGGGCTCACTTGCTCGTCTTACCGAGTCTTTACCTTCCATCCCTATCCCGGCAACCGTGGCTACTTCGGTCTCCACCACTCTCTCTCATTTGGGTGCCTCTTGTGCCCACTTGCGAGAAGGCCGTTTCGGCGCTGCGCTTGCCAGCGCTCGAGTCGCAGAGACAGAAGCTGAGCGCAGCTTCTTCGAAAAGAGTATGGTGGGTCAGGTCTATTTCCCAGATGAGCATAAGGTGGCAGTTTATCTGCCCCTGCTGGGACCAATTGGTGTCCCTCTTGTTGTTGGGTTGCTCAAAGAGCTCAAGAGAATTGCGGCTCGACGCAAGGCTAAGGGGGCAGCATCGTAGAGTAATCCAACCTCTCGACGTTTATGTATTTTAGGAGTTATATAATACACCCATTGAACCTTGAAAACTATTCTTCCTTCTGATGATCTATCTATGGGCGTCTTGCTACCTACCTGGATAGACATGACTCCTCTATAGCCATATGCCCAGTATACTGATCTTGCATAGAAAGCGGTACACAATATTTGAATTAGATGAAGGATTAATCAGGTAATCAGGTATCTAAATAGGTGAACCCCAACCCTCGAAACAAATGAAAAGCAAAACAAATTTGGATATCTTGATACACGGCCAATATGCCAGAATGACAAAGTGTCTAAGCCAATACGACTGAGCGCACAGCTCAACCAAACCTAACATAGGCCTCACATCCCCCCATTTATAAACGCACAGGATCCCGGAACGGATTTTCCCGAGAATCATCATTAGTCGGATAAGGTGCCTTGACCTTGGCGACATGAGGAACCGCAACAACCTGCATCAGGTCGTTAAACAGAGTATCCGGTTTATCGGCAGCACCAGGGTACGGCTCAGGCCCCAAAAAATTGCGAGACTGCGCAAACGATGGCTCAGGCGGTGAATACACCTTGATGCTTTCCGTACTCGGCTGACGCTGTCGTGGCGGGGTAAACGGCGCCGCAACCGGTGCCGGTGCCATAGGGTTTGGCATAGGGATAGGCGGTACATCATTGCCTAGCCCGGGGTTTTGTCTTGGATAACCGGAGAATAGACTCCGAACTCTGCTGCCGGTGCGGTGAATCATCGTGCGAGTCGAGCGTTCTCCTGTGGAAGAGCGCTTGACTCGTGGTGGGCTTCGGAGGAAGTCTGTGCGATAGGAGGTATCGTCTTGGGGGATTGGGTTTGATATGCACAATATTGCGCCGGAAGAAGAGCGTTGGGACCAATTAGGCCCGGCTTTGCCTTCTTGTATTTCACATTCGTCTTTTCGGGTACGTCGGAAACAGCAAGTTATTAAGAGGGCTGCGACGGCACCGAAAACGGCACCTGGGAAGAAGCCTGCTGCTATAGCCCCGGCTGGGAAGGAGGGACACGATGTTGATACATGTGGGCATGTCGTGGGGGTTGCAGACTTTTCTGATGAGGGAGATGCCACGGGTGTGATAGTTGCCAGGGGGGTTGCTGAGCTTTCCGTTGTCGATGATGATGATGCTGTGTTGATAGAGGAGCTGGATACAGATGGTGTTGCTGTGTTGGTGGAAGAGCTAGAGCTAGAGCTAGATGCAGATGTAGATGATGTGGTGCTGGCAGAGGAGCTGGATACAGATGCTGTTGCAGTTGTGGAGGTTTTTTGGTTCAGAGAACAAGTGTTGCCTTGGCAGGTGTAGCCAAACGGGCAGCACAAATCACCGCATTTGGGAAGACTGTCACCCAGACGAGTTGTCTTGATGACGCTCGAGGGGTAGGCAGTGGCATTCTGCTGCTGTATATCACATGTAATCGGCGAGATGTAGTCACAGTCTTGGCCGGCGGGACAGCAGATGGAGGAGCTGCCCTGATCTAGACTTATACAGGTGGACCCTGAAGAACATGACGAGGAGCACGCATCTGAGCTTCTTGGGAGAAGATCGAAAGAGTTATATGCTTGTCCTGGTCGGATGCTGGCCATCAGAGTCAAGAGCAACAGAATGGATGGTCGTGACCTCGTCATACTAGCAGTGCGCATATAGGCCGAGAAAGATAGAAGTGTCTGACGATAGAATTCAAAAAAGTCTCGCCGGAAGATATAGACTGATAGCGTGTTTGACAGAATCTTCAGGTATAACGCAAGCTAAGTCGCAAGTAGAAAGATCAACACTTGAGGAAACTTTGACAGAGATAGATTGCAAAGAGCTAAAAGACAAGGGCATTGACTTTCGTCTGAAACAAAAAGAAATCAGTCAAAGAACCAGTATATGTCATACTTGAAAGAAACTTGGGCACTGCCATCCTTTAGGTCTTGCAGACAAAGAGTACTTGCACGCGCCGTGGTCCTAAAATAGGCACTGGGCTGTTTCAGGGTGAACCGCATGATTAAAATGGCAACGATGTGGGCGCTAACTCGAGTCTTTGTTGCAGGACTGCATCGGACTAGGAAATTGCAGAACGAGGATTGGATGAAGGCCAAAAGGTGCAGAAGAGTACACGGCGCTTAGAGATGAAGTAGATTTGGACGATGTGATTGGCTGTTGGGCCAGGGGTCTTACATAACCACACTAGTCCCGATCGGGCAGAACGTCGGGAGGGAAATTCTTCGACATCGAAGCTCTGTACGATTAACCCGACCATTCACAGTGCCGCTCGTCATGTTCAACCGATTCGCCAGGCCGCAAAGCGCTTTGCGCGCAGCCTCCTCTTTCTCCCCAGTGAGACTCACTTCCTCCGTCGCCCAATCCGCCTTGACTGACCGCGTTTTGTCCAGAAACCTACCTCCGCCTTCTCACGCTTCCAGACTCGGGCTATCCATCGCATTCCCCAATTGCAGCACGACGCCTACTATAAGGAGAATGGTGTTCCGGAGTTCATGTCGCCTGAGTCGTTCGACTTCTCCTGGACCCAATACCAGACTCTCCTCGTTAACAAACTCAATCTGTTGACACAAGGTGAGCCCGACACTCCGACCCTGTGGAACGATACATTGGTCCAATTCGGTCCCAATCGGATAATTGAGCAATGCGGCACACGGAAAGATGAATCTAACATTCGAATTCATTAGATACCGTCGACGCGGATGCCAAACCAGGAGAATTGCTGGTCAAATACTCCAAGCGTCCGGAGATGGCCTCGGTGTTCAACTATGCCTCAATGGCCCACAACAACCACTTTTTCTTCAACTGCCTGGTTAGTAGCGACATCAATCCCTCCGTATATGAAATTCAATCCTAACCAGCCTGCCCAATATAGTCCCCCACAGCCACCACCGTCCCCGAAAAGTTCGCCAAGGACATCGTCGACACCTGCTCCTCCGTCGAGTCCCTGAAGTTGGATTTCCTCGCCACAGCAAGCTCAATGTTCGGCCCCGGATTCGTCTGGCTCGCCAAGAACCTCGAGCGCGAAGGCATGATGCACATCTTCTGCACCTACAGCGCCGGTTCACCCTACCCGGCCGCTCACTCCCGGCGGCAACCCGTCGACATGGCCACCCACACCCCGGAGACCCAGCTGGGCAACCAGTTCGCCGGCTCGATGGGCGCCCACGCCCAGAACCAGAAGAGCCTCGCGCCCGGTGCCGTCGACGTGCAGCCCATTCTCTGTGTTAACACCTGGGAGCACGCGTGGATGATGGACTACGGTATTGCCGGCAAGGACGAGTATCTCGAGCGTTGGTGGGATCGGATTAACTGGGATGTGGTCTTCGACAACTACAATGCTGTTGGTTCGATGAAGAACTCGCGCAGCTCCTTCAACCGCAATCGGAGTATGAGCATGCTTTAAGTTGAAATCATTTCTGTGTCTGGATAATCTGTATTATATACTATCATGTTTTATTTTTTTTTGGTCTTCATTGCTCATTCTCACAGGCTTCTGATTGAGCATGTACAGCGATCCATCCAATAGAATCAAATTGGCGATGCTCTCTATCTCCCTTCTGCTGTCAAGAGTTGAGAAGGTGCAAGTTTAACAAGTAGTCCTATGTAGTTGCCATACATGCAATTTATGCCCACAAAACTCCACTAATGTACAATCTAGTCTACAATCGACACCTCTATCACTGCCCTTTCCCCTCAACCTCCCGAATCCGCTTCTCAAAAGCCTCAATCATAACCCCAGCCATCTGCCCCTCAACAGCACTCATAAGAGTAGCATGCATCTGCGAACGAAACTCAAACCGCACCTCCAAATTGACCTTAGTCAACGGCGCACCCTGCGCGCCAGGCGAAAGCGGCACCAGCTCCCACCTCGTAGTCAGGTACTCGAAGAGGCCCTCATTCGCGCCGGGGAAGAACCCGCTCAGCCCGGACGAAGAAGAGCTCTTACCAGCCTGGCCATCTTGCCCCTCTTTACCATAGTTCGCCCCGCTCTTAGCCTCCACAGTCAGCTTCTCTACGTCGCAGATCACGCGCGACGTGAACGTCTCGCTGAGCGGGCCGTAGCCGACTGTCAGGAACGCTTGTGTTGGGTACCCTGTTTCCGGATCCCGTGCTGTCACGGTCGAGGCGGTGAGGAAGGGGAGGAATTGGCTGTAGGATTCGACTGAGGAGATCACTTTGTATAGCAGGGTTGGGTTGAAGGGGAGGTTGCGGGTAGCGGTTAGGACGCGGTGTGGGGAGTTGTTGCTGTTATTGCTGTTGGGGAGGAAGGAGGATAGATCGGGTAGTCCGAATGCTCGTGTCGTGGTTTTGGGGCCATTGTTTGGGAGGAGAGGTCGGCGCAGACTTGGTCGTTGTGTTGTGTTCATTGTCCGTGTGCTTGTCTTGAGTTGGTGGGAGACTGGGCACACATTCTGGCGCTGGGAGGGTAAAATTGTGCGACTTGGAAGTCGCAAGGTGCGGAAGGGTCGCATTGAGGAGGGTGATATTATAAAGATAAAAGATATACAAGGTTGGTTCTTGGGGTGTAGTGGTTCTTGGTAGACAAGAAAAACGGTCCGGTTCCGCGGAGCGGGATCTGCGCCTCGGCAGGATTTAGTGGGTAGCCAGGTGCATACTCTCTCTGCATTCGGTTGATGGGATTTGTACCCCGTAAACATTTCTTTTTCTAAAAAAAAAGGTACTAGCTTTACAAGGCGTGCATATTGACAAAACATATATTCCTAGGTCTTGTTCATCAATTGATCTGGTTCAACATTGCAAGGGCCTTGGTGTATAGTATCTCGAGATCTCCGATCAACAATGTACAAGAGAAACACAGAGTATGTTCATAACATTGAATATATATATAAAGTTCGGCCTCGTCACTGTTGGTCGCTCTGATGATCCATCGGTGATATACCAGGAGGATACGCACCAAAATCGTATGCCGCAGTCGCTGAAGCATCGGAGAACCAGGTGTTGTTATCGGTGGCCATTTGGCCTCCTGAGATGTGACTGTCGTACAGATTCTAGAAATGAAAGATTAGTTACGGTTGTGATAAGCATCCATGCATGTAGCTAGGGCTCTTACCCAGTCGAATTGAGCGGGTATATCAAGCATGTCTTCAATGACCCCCAGGGAGTTGTATGGTGACGTCTGGTCGGGGCTGGGTATTGTGGGCTGCAAGCCACCAATGTTGGGTATGTATGTTGAGTATTTTTGACCAAATGCTGCTGCTGCATCGGTGGATTTAGTTGAGATATCATCTGGGAACCTTGTTAGCGCGATTTTGTGAAAAGACAAAAGTTTGCTTACCATTCATCGGCGCCATTGATTGCCTAGCAGTCGAAGTGGAATATTGAAAGCCGCCTTTCTTCACCCGTTTGAGCATGATATTCAAAGCATTTACTGCTCGCTGAGTATCTACAGACCGATAACGGGAGTCCATGAATATGCGATGGGTACTCTCCAGAAGAAGCAAGAAGTCTGCTCGTTCTTGGGGTTTAAGACGTGCAGCATCACCACGATCTGCATCCTGGGACAGCTCAAGGCAGAGAATCATTGCTGAGAGCAAAAATGAATTTTGGAGGGAGTTGAGGAAGTATCGCTCTGCGTGCAACTGACCACCGGGCATGAACTCGGCCCAGACCTCTGTGTAGTATCGAAGCGCATCCCGAGCTCCGGTCAGGCAGACTGATCGCGAGTAAGCAAATTTGGGATTGGTCTCAGCGATATATCGACGATGTAGGACAAGACGGGCTGTTTGATACAGGAACTCCAAAGCGAAGCGCCGCATGGTCATCTCTGCTGGGTCTGCGATACACTGCGTCATCGGTCGAATTTTCAAGGAAGAGGGTACCATATCATGCGCGGTCTCCAAACGACGGTCAATTTCCAAGGTCTCATCGTAGGATGCGTGCTCTCGAGAGAATGCTAGGTCTGTTATATGACCAAAGACACTCATAATGCGAGATTTGGACCTTGTGTACGAGCAATCTGTTCCTTCACTCATTGGCCTGCCGGGTGGCAATTGAACGGAAATCTCGTCGAAGTCGGTGTCCAACAAGTTCGAGGGTAACTCTGTGTCATATTGCCAAGGCTGGATTGTTCGAGGGACACCGGCTTGGAAGGAGGTCAAAGTGTCGAGCTGAACAAGCAAGGCCCAGAGACGCCGGCGCATTTCCCCATCCAAGGCAGATAGCATTGGGTAATGACGTGGATCACGATGATAACCCATACGCATCGTCAGGCGAATTGTCATCCCGAGCAAATAGGACATTCCAATATGCGTATCCTGATTCCGGTAGAATTCAGTGATTGAGTAAAGGAATAATGCTTCTCCCTTGTATCGCCCTGGGGTAATGTAGTTCGCTTGGATAAGACACTGCGAGGCCCTTTTCCGGAATATGGCCCATGTTGTATTAGGGGCCGCCATGCTAGAATGCAACGGCTCTGAGCTTCGATGATATAGAGAAATAGACAAAGCCATAATCGAGTACAAGAGAGAAATCCAAGTAAATGATTTATCAGCCGGGCGCAGCCAGAACTCCTCGTACTCTTTCTGAAACGTGGGAACATGGATTGTCACTGTTAGGATATCAGTACTCAGAGCCAATTATTTTTTCTTAAGGAATCTCATACCTCGTGCCGGTTCAGACGTCTTGAGGAATCGAGAGACGAGGCGATCAGCTATCGGCCGTGGAGGAATGTCCATAAGCATCTCCTCTTTGCTCACTGGACGACCATGACCAAGCAGCAAAACTGGCGACGAGTCATCATACGGGTCAATATCGACGCCTTCATTGTCGGAATCTTCTCCATCCTCGTCTAAATATTCTTTCATATCATTAATCTTCAGGTTTGAGAACCCGTCAGTACAATCATCTCAGAGCGTAGAAATGACCAGATCAAGACGGACCTCTTCTAGAATAGCGCGCCAATTCGCACCGTCAATATAACTAGTTCCATCATCTTTGACGAATAGCTTGCCCGTGTCAGCCGGAGTCAACGCCGCATCAGGATCAGGAATTCCTGGTGAACGCGTCGCGCTAGCATCCCGATTCTCTGATTGCACCGCATTAAAGTCGATATCTGGATCAGACTTCTGCTTCTGTGCAAGAGACATCACTAGATTCTCTAGATGGTGCAAGCGGTCCTGGACTAAAGTCGGGCTTGCGCGCCCATGTTGGGCTTTGCCTCGTGGTCCGCGCCCGACATAGGTGCATGATGTGGCCTTGCCACTCTTCTTGCAATTAGCGCAAGGGTGGTTACGGCAACATTTCAATCTATAGTCGATTAGTAGCTGTAGATATGCAGGTATGTACGTCATGCGTTGAACCTACTTTCGATACCTGCACGCTGTGCACGAAAATTGCACTCGTGTTCGCTTTTTGGGGGAGGATGTCTCCGCTGCAGGGTCCAGAGGTCCATCCATTATAATTTAGGGTTATTATGGTGATTGCAATCGGCAAATGATGAGGATGATGCCCAGGAACTAGGAATATTCCAGGTAGAAAAGGAAAAAAGAAGTGGACTCCCTAGCTCGTGGGGGGCTACACGCCCCGCTAACCCGTAACTAGACCAAGCTTTGTGTACTTTGTTTCTATCAAGAATAGCCCTCACGGACTACATCGGTTTTGTATCTAGTCATTGTTTATTTATGCAGTCCATATTTAATGGATCTTGGCCTTCATGGCGACTACTCCTCCAGGTCCAATAATCTGCACATTTGTTTCCTCGCCTTCCTCAAGCACAATGCGGTACTCATCCCCGGCATATAATGGACTCGTGGCCCGGTAAGATATGCGCTCAGGAACAACCAAGGTAGAATCCGTGATATTCTGACGAGTGTCACGCCAAAGATCCAGAATGGAGATCAGATTCAACGGACCATGTACTACGATATCCTTGTGTCCTTCTACATCCCGCGCCCAGGGCAGTGAGTAGTGAATCTTATGAGGGTTGAAAGTCAGAGCAGAGAAGCGGAATAGCGTCACGGGTGTTTGCACCAGGGTCCGCGTATGAGTATTGCCCTCGGTGGATATGACGGATGAGGTAGGATTTGGGGCCGCAATATGGGATGTCGAAGATGAGGAAGGGGCGCTAGATGGCGTTGAGGCAGATGGAATAGGTAAGGCTTTACGGAACACCCAATTGCTATATGAATGTTGTTGTCAGTACTTTGGTTTGCGATGTTCTTGAAAAGGAAACCCGGACCGTCTGTCGATAATTGACACGCCGTGCTCGTTGGAGAATTCTTTCTCAATTCCAACAACAATCATGTCCTCGCCAGTCTTTTTCACTACCTTGGACTCCGCGCTAAGTACCCGTGTTGTCTCCTGCACTTGCTGTCCTACCCGTAGCAAATTGGGTTTCCCATTCACACGGGGCCACAGCACCTCGCCGCCTGCCCACATGCGCCGTGTGAAGGGCACGTCAGGATTGTATGATGCATCGGTCCCATCCGCCCCAAGTTCACTTTCCAAGAACGCGGGTGTGAAATATGCGAGGTGGTAACCCGGCGGCACGGGTACTGTGGATTGCGGGGCGGAAGCACCATTGGACAGGGAGGGGGCACCGGGGAAGAGAGTCGGGCGATTGAGTGTGAGGGTGAGAAGCTGGAGCTGATTTGCATCTATCGTTTGCGTACGGGTTTGTGGCCCCAGGGATTGGAAACGCGACAAGAAGGCCGAGGCTACCGAGGAAGCATCTGAGCGGAGACGCTGAGAGATAGTGAAACTGCGAATTGCGACCGGTCGGGTTCGCGCCAGTACACGGGGGCGAAGATGTGTGAGTAATGACAAACTCGAAGACATGATGGGCTAAGGAGAGTAGTAAAAACAAAAGTAGAGAAGAAAAAGAAAAAAGAGAAAGAAAAAATGTCGCGGGGATCTCCAAATACATGCGGGGAAGCCGATTTGCGTCCCAAGTCGGCTTTATACATCTCACTATGCAGCCCGGGCTTGCTATTGGATAACCTAGGTGACTTGTTTTTATATACTCTTTTTTTCTAATTTTGAGTAGAAGACAGTCGCATTTTGATTTTGAGTTGCTAAGTAGCATAATCCCATACCCTTTTACCTATGGCAACTACAAAAGTAGTCGGCCAACCTCTGTCATCGACGACGTTGACTCTGATTTATCTAGCTCAAGATGATGTTAGGGACATTAGATTTAACATAACACTTTGATATCCTTTTTGAATGTCTATTATAGATGTCTTCATATATGTCTTTATAGATGTCTTTCATCGGATATAGCACTTGCCCCGAGTTTTTGTCATTGTTGATTTTGATAACAGGATGGTGCCAAGAGTCCCATGCATAACTATTAACTGTTTTGTATAAGAACCCTATACCAAAATGAATCCGGAACTCGGAACTCCGAGCATATGGAAAGTGATAGATGTCCTATTTCCCCGGGTGCTTCGGGAGTGACGCCGTGATTGATAATCCATAAATCACACGGGTAAGAGTTTGGTAGAACAATGCCGATTTTTATAGACATTTTGATTATAAAGCTCCCTCCGGTAAGGGACCTCCAGGAATATCCATAGAATATAAATACCCCGTCAATGTTGTTTTAGATATTTAAATTTCCCATCCTCTCATTCTTCAATATCTTCAACTATCTATCATGGCTGGCATCAAAATCATCTGGGGCGCAGGCTCCATCATGGATGAAGTCTCATACCCGACTCTTGAGTCTATCAACGAGGTCTTCGATATTCTGCAAGCCAAAGGCATCACGACCCTCGATACTGCCAAGATCTACAACAACTCCGAGGAGCAATTGGGAAAGCTTCATGCCGAGTCCCGTTTTACCATTGATTCGAAATATCCTGGCGGGTTTTCACCCGAGCCTTCCACCCCGGAGTCTTTTAATACAATCTTGAACGAGAGTCTAGCCCATCTTCAAACCAATCAAGTGAGCTCTTCATAATCTAATACTATAAAGTCCTCATCCCTAATACCATTCCTAGCTTGATGTCTACTATATGCACGCCCCCGAACGCAGAAGCTCAACAGAAGCACTACTTGCTAGTATCAACTCTGCATACCAGGCTGGAAAGTTCAAGCGCTTTGGTTTGTCCAACTATCTGGCCGAGGAGGTCGAAGAGGTGGTCCGCATCTGCCGCGAAAAGAATTACGTCGTGCCGAGTGTCTACCAGGGCAACTACTCCGCCGTTGCACGCCGAGGAGAAACAGAGATCTTCCCCACGCTGCGGAAGCACAACATCTCCTTCTATGCTTATTCACCTATCGCGGGAGGATTCCTAACCAAGGATGTCGCGACGTTGGTCTCCGGCGGTAAGGGTCGATGGGATCCAAACTCGCCACTTGGTGGGATCTACAATGCGCTTTTCAATAAACCCGACATGCTGAAGGGCTTGGAACAGTGGGAGAAGATCTCTAAGGAGTCTGGTATCTCCAAGGCTGAGCTGGCATATCGGTGGGTGGCACATAACTCGACCCTCAAAGAAGAACTCGGAGATGGTTTGATCATTGGCTCGCGTAATGTTGAGCAGCTCAATCAGACGCTTGCTGCATTGAGCAAGGGTCCTCTGAGCGCGGAAATCGCAGAAAAGATTGAGGAGGTGTGGAAGATTGTCGAAGCTGATGCGCCTTTGGATACCTTCAACAGTTTCCCTCAGAACGACAAGGCTGCCTAAGGTCAAGAGAAGATAAGTGCGGATTATGCATATCTGCGCAATTGAGAGAAATCATTTGTAACCAACCTTCAATATACGTGTACCTTGAAAGAAAGAGAAACTCCCCGACTTTTTATAAATCTTCTAGAGTAAATTATAGAAATATTAAAAAAAGAAAAGTCGAGGCTTGAAAGAAGTTAAGTTGTGGGGGTGGGGTCATAGTGGGGCCATGGTGGATCAAAAGTTGTGAATAGCTTCACAAATCACCAAAAAAAGAAAGAAAAAAAAACGTGGCCCCTATATGATTTCTTTCTTCACACGACTAGGCTAGGGACAGTTTCCTCATTGTCTAGGACGCGCCTCGCTCAGTGTCTTTGAGGCATCAGGGAGCCCCCTTTTCAAGGTGGGGTTGGTGTACTCCCTGTCGTCAGCCCGTAACTCACAGTTCTTCAACCCGACCTAGCCGTGATTCGAACTCGCAACCTAACATCACCCTGCCCGGGGCGCTTCCCATCTGAGCCATGGGGGTTGAGGGGTTACTGTGTCTGAAGTGACAGTTCCATTTATACTCACTTTTTTGATGGTTCCTTCCTCAAACAGAGACCGAGGGATGCTCTTGCCTTGGGGCAGTTCCTTCCTTCCTAGCTCGGATCGGGTAGTACCTTCCAATACCTGCCATACTTGCCACACCTTCCTCATCTGATGTATTTCAGTATCCCAGTCTACATGGTAGGTTCTATTTTCGGGGCATCCCGAGGTCCACGTCATGGCATACTAACCTTTTTTTAGGTGACCTCGGGAGATGACTTGGATAATATCATATAAAATTATCTATAGTGCCTAGTTTCATATAACAAATTCCTCTATAGACCAACTATTCTTGTATGTCCTACGTGTAAACTCCAGTCCAGTGATATTAGGCCATCCCCAATGGGCGTACGTAAATCATTGAATTGAGGGCTGTGGGGGGTATCTTAAGGTAAACGAGTACAGGAAGAATGAAATAGCACCGAAAGAGGACACAGATATAATAGGGAAAGTCCAAGAAGACACAAAACCGAGATGAGTTCACGGAAAGCAGACGAATCAAAGTCGAACCTGACCACCAGTCAACCGTTCCCAGTCCCTCTTTCCAAAGGGAACATAGGTTTTATCCTGGAGCCAGTACAAACGGTCCTTCTTCGACACAAGAGCTGGATCCACGCCTTCAGTACGGAGAACATGCTTCTGTTGCTTGTTATTACCGGTCGACTGCGTCACAGGAGTGACCCGCAAGAACAGCGGAGCCGCAAACCGAGGTAGGTTCTTGAGAGTGTGTGCAGCCAGAGTATCAAGCACCTCGCGCGAGGGCTCCAGTGCGGAATCAGAAACGTTACCGCTTGCCATCTGCTGGTTGAAGAGAATAGCTGCACATCCGGCACGCCCATCATGATTGGGAAGAGTCACGCCGTAAACATTGGCTTCGTGCACTTCAGAATGCGCGCCCAGAACCTCGGCAACCTCGCTAGTGGATACATTCTCGCTCTTCCACCGGAAGGTATCACCGAGTCGATCCGAGAAGAACCAGCGGCCGTCTTTGTCCCATCGAACCATGTCGCCGGTCCGGAAATATGCATCGCCCTTCTTGAGTACATCACGGATAATCTTGCCTTCTGTCGCCTTCTTGTTTCCGAAGTAGCCCTGGAAATTGGCAGTGGGATCCGCTGCATCGATGGCGAAAAGCAACTCACCGGGATCACCCCGAGGGACGTTCTTGCAGAGACCAGTCTTGGGGTCACGCCACGGTTCCTCGGTCTCATGATCAACGTCCACAATAGCAGAGCCACGACCAAGAATAATATTTCCCAAAGCACCGTTCCGGCCGATGGCACCCGCAGAGAAGTCGTTCGACGAAACGTTCCATGCGCCCGCAGTGCCTTCAGTAGCGGCGTAGAACTCAGCGATTGTGGGAATGTTAAAGCGCTCTTTGAAGCGGTTCCAGATATCGGGACGCAGTCCATTCCCAAATGCCAGGCGGATATTGTGCTTCTTATCAAGGTCTTCGCCAGTGACCGGGTCAATTTCAGGTGCTACGCCCAATATATAACGTAATGTCTCGCCCACATATTGGATAATTGTCGCATCGTTCTCACGAGCCTCTTTGATAAAGTTGCGCGCAGAGAAACGGCGGCCAATAATCACGGTAGATCCGCCCATCAAGCAAGTTATAAAACCAAGCACTGAAGCAGAACTATGGTACAGAGGCATACACTAGTCAAGAGGTTAGCTTGGAGAGCAGCATTTGTAAATTTGGTAGGGCTTACCGTGAAGAACCTGTCAGAGGAGGTGATGTTCAACCAATTTTTAACGAACAAACTACCAGACCAGCACTTCTTCCAACTGACAATAGCAGGTTTGGGAAGCCCGGTGGTACCACTTGTGTAAATTAAAATAGCCATATCGCGAGGGATCAAGCCGCTGCGGACCTTGTCATCCTCTCGTGTAGGCTCCATCCCCAAAATTTGCGCTTCGACTTCTGGGGTATGGAACACGATCTCAACAGGCCCCTTGCCATCACGGAAGGTCGGGGATGTCAAAATTTCCTCCTGCTCCGCCGGGAAGCAGTGACGAACTTCTTCGTCAACCACCAAGAGCCTCGCCGTGGACGTCCGAATAGAGTGGGTAAGCGGCTTGCCAGATAGGTTGTAGTTAATAAACGCAGGAACTGCTCCAATACTCCAAAGTCCCAATAGCATGAATATGAAGGTGGAAGAGTTCATGAAGTCGATCGCGACGATCTCCTTGCGCTTGATGCCGTGAATGTTCTTAAACCACGCCCCGTAGCGAAGAACCGTGATGTAGGCTTCGTGGAACGTCGTTGTTTGTCCATTGTATACAATAAAATCGTTGCCTGCAGTTTTTGGATCGAGTGCATAGGATTCAAGTGTGTAAAAGAGGTTCAAGCGGTCGCCACGTTCTGCCACGCGGGATTTCACGGTCATTTTCAACAACCCCTTGAGAAGGCTCAAATCGTAGGAGACCGACCATCTTGCGTTGAGATATGCAAGTGTGGTGGCCGCGGCAGGGAGTGCAAGACTCAAGGGGATATCTGCGGAAAGAGACAGCTCGTTAGCCATGCATCCAGCCCCGCCGTATGGATAACCTACCGGGAAATGATGGCAGCGTCATTGAGATCAAGTAGATTGAAGGATCGCTCCCAAGTGAGTATGCTCGAGTATGATATTTGGGTGGAAAATGAGATCGCCCCTTGAATCACCGCTTTGAATGTAGCGTTGGAGGAAAGAACAAAGAACTGGTGTAGGAGCTCCTTGGCTGACACCTCGGCTTTGCTTCTTATATCAGAAAATGACCAGTTAAAAGCAATCAAGGTTGCCGTTATCCGTTGAAATTGGGGAGATTGAAAGAGGAACAGATCGCAGCCTGCCTCGGCACGGATGTGCCGATCCCCTGAGGACATGCAACATTGTGCAATATTGTGCAACGCATACTCGCCACATACCTTCAATATAACGTTGTACGATAGTTATTTCGCTCTGATAATTAATTATTTCATAATATGACTTCCTTCCATAGCTTCTAATTCCAACTTCTGATCCTTCTGTATACATGGGTCTAGCATATTTACAGGGATATTCACCCCGCACTTTTTGGAGAGTAAGGCTATGCTATTTATGTACTAGTTTGCATGTCCGAAGCATCCGGGTTACTGTTTTGACCGCCAAATTTCAATAGCATGTCACTTTGGCAAGGGCTTCTTGACTGGGACATTTTCATACTCATTTTCCATGAACTTACCCAATGCATCCAAGCCCTGCTCTAGGACCTCGGTTTCATTGACATACCCAATGCGGACATAACCTTTGAAGTCTTCTCCAACTCCAAAGCAAAGACTTCCCGGCACAAGCATTACACCGGTCCGGTCCTGAAGCATCTCGCAGAAAGCGACATCGTCTACGGGTTTTCCCATCTTGTTGAAGCGCACAAATGCAGTGGTACCGGCTTGTGGTTTAATCCACTCACACGCCCAGCGATGAGCATCAATGAACTTCTCTAGAATAGAGAGATTAGTCCTGGCTAGATCGAGATTTCGCTTCAGAAGATTGTGGATGCAATCCGGTGCTAATGCAAAACTGGCAATTGCTTCGTCAATTTGCCCGACCGAGATAGTTGTATAATCCCTTGAGTTGGCAAGAGATTCGATGATGGAACTATCCCGCGACGCAACCCAGCCGACCCGTAACCCCGCCAGGCTATACGCTTTAGAAACAGATCCTGTCACCACAGTGCGTTCGTATCCCATAGAAAGAAGTGTGGGTGGGAATCTCGGGTCCGCCGGGCTGATATTGTGGAAAAGTGGACGATAGACCTCATCGGAGAGGATGATGATGGATTTCTCGCGGGCAATATCGACCAATTGTTCGAGAGTCTGGCGCGGGATGATAGCTCCAGTTGGATTTTGCGGGTTACTATGACGAGCATGATGGTTAGAAAAAGAAAGACACGCTTGATATGGTTGTGATAAGAGTCAAACATACTTTATGATGATCAACTTCGTGTTGGGACGGATAAGGCCTTTCAGCTCTTCAATGTCTAGCTGCCATCCATCGGCCTCTTTGGACTTCCATAGGCTGACTTCGGCCCCCACTGATGCAGGAACAGAGAAGAGTTGCTGATATGTCGGATAATGGCAGATGACATGGTCTCCTGGACCAACCAACGTATATAGCAGCAAGAAGTTCGCTTGGATTGCGCCGGGGGTGATCAAGATATTATCCTTCGGCAACTGTGTTGGTGCCCTCACCGAGTACAGATTGGCCAATGTATTTCGTAGTTTATCAGAGCCACGGATCGCCCCATACGTAAGTTTGGTGGATTTAAGCTGGGTGAAAGGGTCCGACTCCTTGTCATCAGAGAGCGCGCGGAGATCGTCGACGGAGATGGATGCGCAGCAGGTCTCGGCGGTATTATATTTAGCAGTGGTCTCATACTTGTCCATCCACTGCAGAGTGGTTAGCAACCGATATTTGTAATGTACAGGGAACAGACAAACACCACCGAGTCATGGGGTAATGCGGGGAGGTACCTGTTCAACCGCGAAGGCTTCAATCTTCACCATGGCTGAGGGCAGTGAGCATTACCGAGCGAAGTAGCTACAATCAGATATCTTTCTCCCGGGGCGTTCCAAGGTTCAGCTGAAAGAGTTATGACTTGGGTCTCCGGTTATGCTACCGCCACTTTCACCTATCAGCTCCTTGGCTGTGTCGGTACCATCACGTGATTGGTGTTATGATTAAGAGAAACCAAATCCCAACTATAGCTGAATAACGGCAGAACATCATTGAATCATATTGATTCCCATGAAACGCTCGGCGTCTTGGCATTTACAACTCCAGTTGGAAGAATCATACCACAAAATTCCTTCGATCAATGTCTTCAAACTTATAGTCTACCCCATGTTGTCGTCGGATTTAGGCCCAGAAGATACGCTGAATAGGGACTCACCAGCAACGAGCTCTAAGATTGTAGATTCTAAGACAAAGACTTCCCATACAGAATTCGACCAAATAACATAGTTTGTGTAGTAACCACTTCCGGATCTAGAACATATTGATAAAGATACGACCGAACAATATACATATAGTCGCAGGTTAAAAGCAGGGCTTCTACGAGAATAAAAGACTTTACATATGATCTATGATTATTTGATCTATTCTTCGTCAACGATTTAATGAAAAGATGATCTCGTAGCCTAGGTTTAACGAGTGCAGTGTCTATCCTGCAGGTAAAGTGAGCTTGACAGTAGGGCAAATTCTTACTACAACAGTTCCCCTTCACCATTCTTGGAAGCAAAGAAAGCCAGCCAATCATAGCTATTCAGGCAACCGTAGTAGGTAGCTTTGGGAGGCGGTATTGTCACTGCGCCTCATCCAAGGTCAACCTGAAAATACCGAAACGGCTTCTCCTCGGGTCCACATTGTAGCACACTCCCGCAGGCGGCTCCTCTGTTTTCTCCTCTCACTCAAATACAATACCTGCCTGATTCTGTATGGTAAGGACCGGAAATGCGTAAAATCAATAAGGCTTGCTGGTTGATCTGCATGCTTCTTCAGTACTTTGACCCAGAACAGGGTATCTTGCTTGGAAAAGAAGCAAATCTCCTCGTGCTGTAGTAAATATTCATCTTGAAGTTTTTCCTTACTGCTTCGAGAAACGGCAGTCTCTAGTAGACATATTTTAAAGCAGGGTTCTGTAATCTTGCTGCATCTGAATTCAGGCGTCTCGAAACATTCCATTGTGATATATGCAAAAGTTGCAGAATCATGAGAATCTGCCAGAAATCTGGCCCATGAACTATCATGCTCAAGAGGAATCTTGAAACATTGAGTGATATTACCCTCGAATGGCCAGGCAACACAAAAGTATGTCTCTGTGCTGTCTATTCCGGTGTGTCGAAGAGTACTTAAGATATCACAGATGACATTAACATTTCGTTCGCGTAGATCTGGGCTCAGGCCATTCAGCCAGAAGTAGAGGTCTTTTGGTCGTAGCGTCTCATCTTTCATTTTGTCTTCGAGAACATGGTTAAATGCCGACCCGGTAGAGAAGTGCTGTACTAAATCTGCCACCAACTTTCTCAAACGGACTCTTTTGGCTACTCCAGTGCAATAGCTCACTTGGACTCCCCAATAGGAATCTAGGTATTGAACGAGTACTTCGGGTGGATATGCAAGCGCTCGATCTTTTACCGGGATGCCTATTTGTTTGTTCCAAGTTTCTGCGGCTTGGCAAACGACATACTGGCCACCCTGGATGGCTAATTGTCGTTGTGACTTCTGCCAGGAAGAGCGACTTGTTCCCAATTCTTCCAAAAGACTGGCTGACACGATGCGAGACTCCGCTTCGATAGGTTTACAAGCAGCATTCACTGCGACCAATGAGCCGATCAAAAGGGGTTTCTTTATATCAATCGAATTCAACCCTTTGATATCTGGCATTTGATGGCTCCAATGAAGCTTTCCATCTTTATCAGCAAAAATAAAGCCGTCCCCAATCTTTATGGCGATAGGAAGGCCACTTCGATCTCCTTGGAGTATGAGGTTCCCAGGTCCCCATGTATCAAGTAGATCCTCGGCATGCCCTAAGATGTCGTGTTTTTGCATCAACCGTTTGATTTGAGTCTTCGAGGGCTGATTCTGTGGCGGAGATATGCTGGAACGGAAAGATAAAACTTTCCCACGGGTCATGTTACCCAGACAAGTAAGATCGACAAGTTCTGCTATCAAATATGGATAAGACTTCCTCCTCTGAATACCCATTAGTCTCGCCTGCTGAGCGAAAAAATCCAAGAAAAAAGGCTGAACAGATCCGATATGCGCTTGGCAATATGAGAGAAAGCCAAGGCAGAGAAATTGGACTGCTAAAGCACAGACGTGAAGGCACCACTCGATGCTAGAGTCATCTGGGGTTTTCGTTATTTCGGGCCAGACCAGTCCGAGGATTGCGGTGGATGTAGATAGGAGCTTTTCAGTGTCGGAAAACTCAGAAATCGGGTTCATGACCTTATACAGCTCCTGAATAAGGATCAAAATTGGCTTAAAGGAAATATTGATGATTTCTACCAGAGATGAGCCAGGTGGTTCATGGTCTTGAACCCCTGATCTGAGAACTGTGAAGGAATTGCAGCAAAGATTGTGTGCTTGCAGCAAAGCAGCAGCGTGATAAAATCCGTCTAGGGCTCGAGAGATGCGAGACCAGAGTATTTCGTTATCGCGCGGGTTCATTTCATCAGTAGGCAGCTCATATGTCACTGAAAGTACCTGGTCGCTGACATTGAAGTCAATAAATCCAACCCAATCAGCCACACTTTGAGTAGTAGGCTTTATTCCAGCCATACCACAGAGTTCCTGTATCTGAAACATTATCCCTTGGTCATCAAACTTGATTGTTTGGCCTTCGAAGACGGAATCAAAAATCTGCGCTGGCAGTGCTTCCTGGGGCGAAACAGAGTGGCAACATCCCGGAATATGTCTATCAGGCTCGATTTCAGAAGAGGGGAAACAAGTTGGGTCGAAAATAATCCATGGAGAGCCATTGCTGTCTTCGAGAAGAAGCTCCATAATCTCATAGGTGCTATATCCCACCTTCCCCAGTTCTCGTACCCAGATGACATCGTCCGAGATCTTGACACTGCTCTCTAGAAAAAGAGACACTAACTGATGACCCCGGTCACTTTTTGCAGCTGTCTTGAGGATTTTTTCTGTAATGATAATATTGCCTTCCTGTTTCTGGAGAAGTAGGCTCATCAACTGAACTGCATTTTCTGAAGTTTCTAAGACTTTCTTGAGAACCTCCTCGGCGATTGATATTATGTTTCCATGTCTGTCAAGAAGGAGTCGCGCAATAGTCATGCTTTCATCCAATACAGCAGCCTGGAAGGCAGTTCCATACTCGCCTCCTTGGGCGTTGACGTCCGCGCCTTTCTCAAGAAGCACTTGGACGACCTCTTGATGTCCCTTAGCTGCGGCGGCTTGGAGAGCAGTTCCATACTTGCCTCCTTGGGCGTTGACGTCCGCGCCTTTCTCAAGAAGCACTTGGACGACCTCTTGATGTCCCTTAGCTGCAGCGGCTTGGAGAGCAGTTCCATACTCGCCTCCTTGGGCGTTGACATCCGCGCCTTGGTCGAGAAGCATTTGTATAATCGACATATTTCCTCTATATACGAATACGGCAGCCTGGAGAGCATTTCCATACTCGCCACCTTGGATGTTAATATCCGCGTTGTGTTCGAGAAGCAATTGGACGATCTCTTTGTTCGTTCGAAATGCGGCGGCCTGGAGAGCAGTTCCAAACTCGCCTCCTTCGGCATTGACGTCTGCACCTTGATTAAGAAGGAGGCGCACTATCGCGATAGGCCTACTTAAAACAGCGGCCTGGAGAGTAGTGGAACCTTGTCCCCCTAGAGAGTTAACGTCGGCGCCGTTCTCGAGAAGTAACTGCACGATCGCTATATCTCCTTTATAGACGGCGGCCTGGAGAGCAGTTTCATGCTCGCCTCCTCGAGTGTTCAAGTCGGCGCCTTTTTCAACTAGTAATTGAACGATCTTTTGGTGACCTCTTACTGCGGCAGCCTGAAGGGCAGTTCCGAATCTGCCTCCTTGGGTGTTGACGTCAGCTCCATTTTCAAGAAGCGCTTGAACAATTGCCAAATCTCCTTCGAAGACGGCGGCCTGGAGGGCAGTCCCAAATCTGCCTCCTTGGGAGTTGACGTCCGCTCCATTTTTAAGAAGCACTTGTACGGTCGGTTTATCTCCTCTTGCTGCGGCCGCTTGGAGAGTTGTTCCATACTCGCCTCCTTGGATGTTAACGTCGGCGCCATGGTTGAGAAGTAATTGAACAAACGCTCCATTACTCCTAGATACAGCAGCCTGGAGGGCACTTCCAAACATGCCTCCTTGGGTGTTGACGTCCGCACCTTGGTCGAGAAGCAATTGAACGATTTCTCGGTGTCGCTCAATTGTGGCGGCCTGGAGAGCAGTTCCATACTTGCCTCCTTCGGCATTTATATACGCGCCTTTCCTAAGAAGCAATTGAAGAATCTTTTGATGACCCTTAGCTGCGGCGGCTTGGAGAGCAGTTCCAAACTCGCCTCCTTGAGCGTTGACGTCCGCGCCTTGGTCGAGAAGCAATTGAACGATCTCTTGATGACCCTCAGTTATGGCGGCCTGGAGAGCAGTTCCATACTTGCCTCCTTGGGCGTTAATATCCGCGCCTTGGTCGAGAAGGAAGTGAACGATCTCTTGGTGAGCGATATAGAGAGTAGTTCCCTTGATTATAGCGGCCTGGAGAGCAGTTCCATACTTGCCTCCTTGGGCGTTAATATCCGCGCCTTGGTCGAGAAGCAACTTAACGATCTCTTGATGACGCTCAGTTATGGCGGCCTGGAGAGCAGTTCCATACTTGCCTCCTTCGGCATTTATATACGCGCCTTTCCTAAGAAGCAATTGAAGAATCTTTCGATGACCCCTAGCTGCGGCGGCTTGGAGAGCAGTTCCAAACTCGCCTCCTTGAGCGTTGACGTCGGCGCCTTTCTCAATAAGCAATCGAACATAGAATTTATCCCCATCTAAGACAGCATCCTGGAGATCGAGATCCTGGAGAGCATCTCCATACTTGTCGTTGACTTCCGCGCCTTGGTCGAGGGGTTGACATTCTTCCTCTCCCTGCCTCATACTTGCATCTTTGAGGGGATCCATTTACAGATGTCCAGTTTGCCGATTGTCTATAAGTGAGATTTGAGTTATATTGTGTCAGAGTGATCATTTGGGGAATGTGTTGAGTTGAGAGTTGGGATATTCACCCTAGCGATACACCCCTCATGCTCAAGCCGTCGCTATTACGCTCGGCCCTCGCGTTAAATGCTCAGGTGATAGCGGGTAGGTAGCCCATATTATTGGATGCTGGTGTGGAGTGGTGGATCTTCGCACCAATAACGCCGTACGACTTACGGAGTACAGGACCGCCAACGCACGCTCATGTACCTACCTCGGAGGGCTCTGAGTATCCCGCTCGTTAGGAAAATTCGAGTCTATAGACCCGTTACTGGAAAGCCTCTATCTACTGATAATTGGGAGCTAAGATCGGTAAATGCGAGCTTTGGACTTATAGAGCCTAATTGATAACTATATAGTTATACTCTTCTAGCGTAGTAGGCGCTAGCTCATGGTAGCAGACAGTATTATCCCCGGCTTTCTTCTCGTTTTGATATATATATATGTCTTTTTCTTCGAACTTAATCAAGGCTCAGAGCGAGTTAGGCCTTATCACCCCGAGGTGAAAATTGTCACCCCGTTCTCGCCTCTCTCACCCTAGTCTCGAGACTTCTCGCCCATATCACCCGCACTCACCCTATAGTGCTGCTTGAGTGCTGAGGGCGCATTTACAATTGACTGTGCAGAATAGTCGGCTTAAGTACGGCTGAGCGGACGGGAAGCCCTGTTCTCCACACCCTGTGGTCGTATGTACCGGAACCGCCCTTGAAATGAAATATATACTGCATCAATGGCTGCTAGAAAACTGTGTGGTATACACTCCGTCTGCCAAGTTTTGTTGATGCTGGTTTTGGCATTCGTGATGTGAGGCCTAATTTATTGTAGTACCTCGAGTATCTATTTCGCGAAGGAAACATCTGAGCGTTACTAATAGAAGAGTCAATGGCAAGGCTATATTGAGTCTTTAAATCTTCCGCCAACAAGACTTACCTTAATTTTTTTCTGAGGTAGAGTGGCTAAATATTGAGCTATCATAGGCTTGAGGGGGTTACCATCCTCCATGGAGGCATACATCTTCCTATATTCGTCCTCCGATTTCACGACACTGTCGTCCTTGCATGCGGCAAATCTATCGTCGTCTGGGTCTTTCCAGTAGAGCGATTGATCGTTATCATCTTCCCATTCGTCAACTGTCTTTGCATTTGGGATGGGGACATCAATGCCTTCAATGATCAATGATTTGGATTTCATTTCGCGCAACAGTCTTTCCAGTTGATCATCCACGCCCAGATCGAGCTCGTGGCCCGATGAGTCGAGATCATGCGGTCCCTCCCCCCGTCCATAAACACGAAGATATTGGAGGTTGGGAGGCAGATTTTCTGCTAGGTTAAAAGATTGAAGGTCAATGCGACCATCTGGAAATCGGTCTTGGTTTGATCCCACACCCCGTGCAAAATGGCACAACGTATGGACGCCAAGATTAAGCCGCTTCAGCTTTGGGAAGTCTTTCAAGGAGATCCATGATGGCCTGGTCTCTGGCTCTTGGGCGGCCAGTTCGAGAATCTCACTGGCGTACTGTTTCTCATAGCATTCCTGCTCGTACTCATCGAGCCCTTCGTCTTCATCTGGCTGATATTCAGGATCGTAGAACTCTTGCCAAGTCGTATGATATTCCATATCCAAATCCAGCTCCTCAAGCGTATGTCGGTGAAGCCAAAGGGATTGGAGTAGAGGTGTCACGCCCAGTGTTGGGATACCCCCCTCGGGGTTCTTTCGCCCACCCACAGTGAAAACGAAGTTCTTCAGCGTCTTTGGCGACTCAATGATTCGGCAGAGGTCATAATCCGGAATGCATGAGTGGTCGATCTGGACTTTGCTGTAGTTGGCACAGCGTGGAGGAAGCGGTAGTCCGGGGTCGTCATCCCTCATCGCTAAAGTGAAAGAGACAGATTCAACAGCTGGCAGTTTTCGTACCATGTTCAATCGAGAGAAGTATGGCTCTCGCACGTAAGTTGTGCCTTGGTTTAGGACATCATCCGGGTGGAAATTGAAGCTCCTTAGGTTTTGTAAACAGGAAACAGGTGGTTTAGCGGCCCGCTGGAAAAGTGACTTCAGCGTACTGCGGGGCATATCCAGGGGGTATGAAGACAAGAATTCGAGATTGGGGGCGTTGGCAGCGAGCATCATAACAAGCACGTCTTTGAACTTGATTGCTTCGGGGCTAGAAGGAGATCTGGTTTTCATAGTGAGCTTCTGGGCCTTGAGATGCGCACCGGAAATTGTACCTAAAGCAAACAGGATCTTGCCTAAGAATATCCAAGATAGATTCTCGGTCACTGTGATCTTCGATTCCGGCTTTTGTCAAAGCCTGCTTGATTCTGCTGAGACCCCCCGGAGAAAAAGCTCGTTGAATGATATCGGTTTCATGAGGAGAGATACCGGAGCCTTGTTCACTTCCGAATAAGATTATCCGACGAAGATAGCTTGCCAGAGTCGGGGTGGCCAAAATTTCGAGCAACATGTCCTGGCCGGCCTGAAGCTGGGCTGTGAAATTTTGCTTTTCTCGACCGATCTGAAACACATGATATTTTTGGCGGTTAGAGACGTCGCTAACATCATGCATCCCACGATTTTGCTGTGAAAATGCCACAGCATCACTCATAGACGAAAGTTTCTGACTGATGTTGGATAGCACTTCCGGGGGGAGGTTTTGTAATTTCATTTTTCGTACGGTAGCTGGCCTCAACAAACGCGACCTCAAAACATGAGACATGGGTTTGGTGGGTACGGAGTAGTAAGAAAGGAGAAGGGTGAGCAAGGGGCTGGGGTGCACGGGTAAGCTACTCTATTCTAGGCAAGTTCTTTTTGTCCTTTGCTGCTAAATCGGTTGACAATGTAGATGTCTAAGTGTCCCCTCTCATGGCAACATGTGTTTCCCCGCATTGAAGGAAGAACCTTGGCAGCCATACAGTAGTGGGAAGGAAGAAATATTGTCATTCGTAGGAGAACGTAGAACTCATGAAGGATCTAGTTAGTATTTCCGTAGAATGAAAATCATCGAGTTCAACCTCCAGACGTTGTATAGCATAAGATCGCCCACCGGGTCACCTGCGGGTTCCTGACGTCCATGCAGCAGCCCAGCCTCTCGCTTCTCCGCCCGCGTCATCGTCTGGGGGCTAATCTCACCCTCTCTCCGCTTTTTGCTCCTCAACCTTCAAACTTGCCTCCTTGTTATTATCTTTTACTTCAACTATATGCTCCAGTTTGTTTATTTCATTTGATCAATTCGGCTGTCCGGTCTGCATCCCTTCCTCAGTTGTTGGTATCGCTGCGTATTAGGACAGGCTGCTGCCATCCTACAAGATGCGCTTGATTGGCGCAATACCTCTTTCGCTTCTCACATTAACTCCCCTACTGGGATCCGCTGCAGCATGGAGCGAATTTTCCGACGCAAGCCTTGCTACGCAATCCTATTCCCTCTTCGATGATCGGCCGTCCGGATGCCCCGAGTGTCCAGCTTGCTTCAACTGCCAACTCGACAACTATAACTGCACTCATTTTGCAGAGTGCAACAATTTTAACGGCAAATGCTCATGTCCCCCCGGATTTGGAGGAGACGACTGCTCGGTTCCCCTATGCGGTTCGCTGGCCGACGACTTGAACCGACCGCAGCGTGATTCCAATACCTGTCAATGCAAGGATGGCTGGAAAGGCATCAACTGCAATGTCTGCGACTCGGATAGTGCCTGCAACGCCATGATGCCAGAAGACCAAGGGGGCGTGTGTCACAAGCAAGGCGTCACGGTCAAGGAGAACTTTCAAATGTGTGATGTGACCAACCGTGCGATCTTGAAACAGCTCGACGGCCGCAAGCCCCAAGTGACTTTCTCCTGCAAAGCCGAAGATGAAACATGTAGCTTCCAATTTTGGGTGGACCAAAAGGAGTCATTCTATTGCGGCCTAGACACTTGCGAGTGGAACATGGAAACAGACTACAACTCTAATACAACTCACTACAAGTGTGAGCACCTTCAATGCGAATGTATTCCGGGTCGTTTCCTCTGTGGCGAGAACGGGTCCATTGATCTGAGCGATTTCCTTGATCAACTGATCAAGGGCCCGGCTACTTTTGATACTAAATCGACCCTGGAGGGTACCAAGAGCGTTTTCTCCGAGCCTCAGATGAATGGATTGATTGCAGGCGTTTTTGGTGATCCCAGTATCTTCTTGTCATGCAATTCAGGAGAGTGCATGTACAAGACCGACGAACCGGGATATGAGCGCCCCGTGAAGAAGATCAACACACCACTCATTGCCGGTGTGATCGCGGGAAGTTCACTATTTGTGGTTGCTGTCATTCTGCTCGTTTGGTATCTGTCCCGTCGTGCTGCGCGCCGCAGTTATCTTCGCCTGTCTCTCTCGGATGATTCGGACGACGAAACTGCCAAACTCCTCGCAGACTACCGCCCTGCGGCTTTGTACTGGGACAATGTATCTTACACACTAAATGGAAAAGAGATTCTCTCTGGCATTCAAGGTGCGTCCATACCAGGCCAGATTACAGCCATTATGGGTGCATCTGGTGCTGGGAAAACTTCATTCCTCGATATCCTGGCACGAAAGAACAAGCGTGGCTCAGTGAATGGAGATTTCTATGTCAACGGTGAGAAGATCGACGACAATGACTTCAGAACCATGGTTGGTTTTGTCGACCAGGAAGACACAATGCTTGCCACCTTGACAGTCCATGAGACCATCTTGACAAGTGCCCTACTCAGACTTCCCCGGGACATGAGCCGGGCAGCTAAGGAGCAAAGAGTCATAGAGGTCGAAAAGCAACTTGGGATCTACCACATCAAGGATCAATTGATTGGCTCGGAAGAAGGCAATGGTCGTGGCATCTCCGGTGGAGAGAAGCGCCGAGTCGGAATTGCTTGTGAGCTAGTTACCAGCCCTAGTATCCTGTTCCTGGATGAGCCTACCAG